AAAGCTGTGCAATTTGCTGTGAAGGGGGGTAACTACTTTATTTTGTTTGTTTTTAGCTAGTGCATGTTCTGTTTTGTTACAAAAGCTGTCAATGAGCAGTGAGGTGTTTTATTTTGCCTGCTTTAGTTCTGAAGAGAGGAGAAAACTGCCCCTTCTCAGAAGCCCACAGGGAGGGCTTTTATGAAGATCAGTGTGGGGCATCCTGTTCTACCCAACACATACCCCCAAAATTGGAGCAGAGCTTATGGGAAACTTCTGAGCATGGCACTGGGCCATGACATCCCTATATGGTCCTCATAGGGTGTCTCCTGGGAGCCAACAGAAATGGTTTCAGCCTTGAAGCTAAGCAGATCACATTGAAAACTGTTGGACTTAGGGAAGGATTGAGAGCTCCCTAGCATGTGAAACACAGAAGCCAGGAAGATATGGTGGGGAAGGAGTGCTGGGGACTTGGTGTTTTTCTGGTTTATGTTCTCTTTGTCTGAAATTGCCTGAACTCACATCTGTGCAGATCCTAACCCCTTTAACATGCTTGGGCTGCTTACGTTAAGGAAATGGCGTGAGAAGACCACCTCAGAGCGCTGGCCAGCTTGAGACGCAGTTGCACCCAAACTGTAACCAGCTTGGCAGGAGCTGGATTTCTTTGGCCACATCTGCCTCTGTTGTACCCTGTTAAATCTTAGTGGCAGTCTTGGCTCTGGGACTCTGTAGAAAGCTTCTGGCTCTTGCTGATTACTTACTCCTGTGTAGTCTGGGAAGGTAGGCTCTTCGTAGTGGCGGCATTTTCCCCTGAAGAGAAGGGGAATACGTTTGGTTCCTGTAGAGCTGCAACAGCAATCACTGCCTATGAGGAAGAACTGAGACATTGTATGGTATTGGACTGGAGTGACTAAGAGTGATGGTGTTTGTTTGGCTGAGGATGACAAAGAATAATCCCTTTTCCTGCAGTTAGCAGATCAGCAAGGAGTTTACAGGTGTGGCTAGTTGGATGGGACTGAGGCTTAATCAGTATTTAGCATAAACCTCTAACAGGCTGTAGAGAAGGTCTCTGAGATATCAATGGACTGTTGTAAGTGTGAGCTTATGTGTGAATATGGATGAAACTAGTGAGGAAGGAACCAGGTGCTAATTGAAGAAGGAGAATAAATGTTTTTCCATCTATAATGTTTTATTGAGGTTCTCTTTTCCATAGCACTAGAAGAACATTTTGTGTTTTAAAGGCCAGCAGGGGTATCTGAACCAAGAGAGATGTGCTCTCAGCTTCCTGAAGTACGGGGGATATCCTTTAGCAACCATCATTTAAAACATGGAGAAACATATTTACATGAACAATGTCTCATTTCCACTACTGTGGGAAAAAATAAATCCTTACTCATTGCCCCAGTCACTGTGGTGTGAGGCCCAGGCTTGGCAGGAACCATGGTTCAGTCTCCTCTGAATCGCCAGCTCTCTAAACAAACTGTATGTTATTGAAATGGAAGAATCTGTTTTCCACTGGGATTAAAAGCGATTTGTCCTTAACCCTGGGAGCTTCCAAGCTACTAGATTTTGAAATTGTCTTTGTTAAAACAGGAAAGGGATCCTAGAGCATAGAGATTTTGAGTCAGTGGTCTGGATCTGCTCATCATGGGGTCAGAGGGGTGATCTGCAGCTGGTTTCAATATCCAGACAGCAATGTTTATCAAGGTAGGGACAGAGCTGCCAGTAGACTCCCCTTTAGCACTCACCATGTGAGAAGAGAGCAGTTGTGTTGCTATGTACTCCCCTCATCACTCTGATGGCTGATTCCAGCCTTGAGTACCAAAAATCTGTAGTGACAACTTTCTGGCCTTACAGGGAGAAGGGGGAGGAGATGGGCTTTCAAGAAACTTATAAGGTCATGTCACACTGGAAAACTAATGTTTGCTTTTGTTTCCTGAACAGTGCATAATAACTCCAGGAGGCAAAAAGCAGGGAGCATTATGACAGCTTCTCTTAAATGACCATAGGATGCACGCAGGAAGCCACACTAAATTGAAACTAAGGAATGCTTTATGGGTAGCAAGTTTAGAAATATATTTAAATTTTTTGTTCAAAGAGGGCAGCTTGGAAGTTGTAGCTGGTTCTAAACCAGGGCTTAAGCTCTGTAATAGGCAGATGTGGGGTTAAAACGGGCTGGCCTAGGTAGAGGATATTCCACATCTAGCCCTTGGATTTGAGGCTGATTTCTTTGATAAGAACCATTTTTAATGTAAAGCTGAAAAGATAGTATGAAGATGAAAGAGTTGGAAATAAAAGAAGTCTGGCCAAATTTTTCATTTACATGTAAACCTCTCTCTCAAGCTGTAGTTACTGATCTATTTTTACTTTGCTTCCCGGAGTCAAAAGTAATGCCTAAAAGACCCGTTTTCCCAACACTTACCAAAACCAGCGTGAATTCCTCAATAGGCAATGTCATAGAAGTTGCATGTCAAAAATTTTAGAGAGCCTTTTGTAAGCATCAAGGTTGTGGACAGAAAGGGGCCAACCAAACCCCGGGCCCTATGTAAGTTTGGACCTTTATCTATACTTGATATCTCGTTATTGTGATCCAGGTTCCTCTCTGCTTGATGTCTTTCCAAGATTCCCCTGTATTCATTTTATTCTTGACAGGCTAGTGAACTACAGACACTTGTATCAAAAGGTTTGGAAAGGCAACAGCTGAATATAATCTCCAGATAAATGCAACATACCATGGCCACATATGAAGGGTCTCTCCCATGAATGGAAAAGTGAGACCTGTAGCTCTGAAAAACTTTGGATTTAGATTTCTCCCTAGAGAACAATGAAGATTAAGTTATCACAGTTTTGATCACGTGACATGATTAGCTGGTCTGTGGAAACTCTCATATGTATACCTGCAGCTTGGCTACTCAGAGGATTTTGTGGCTTGGTCAGCAATACTCTGATGGGTGGTATGCTGCTAGGGCTTCATGACTTGAGCCTTCCCCAAATTAGCCAAAAGAGAAGAAACTATCTGCATATTCCACCCCTGATGCAGTAGAAGCAAACAAACAAATGTATCTATCTCTGCTGGGCCTCATTCAGATGTATATATTGGTTTCTCAGTGCCAGATCCTGCTATGAACTCTTGCTCTGCATGCAGTTAGAAATGACACAAAGAGATAGATATCTGTATCTCTATACACACACACGAACTATTTTTTTTTTTTGACCTGTAGCATATGGTGATGTTTGCTTAACCCACAGAAAACTCACATAGCCATACATGATGTGACACGTATTTTCCTCACAGAATGCAAACCATAGTTTTTAACAGGCTTGTATTTGCTACTGGATTCTCAAGTTCATTTCTGCTGCATAGTTAGGCAGGTATGTTCGGTATTTCTGTTGGGTTTTTTTCTTCCTTTTTTTTTTCATCATCCAGTTTAAAAAATAATCCTCTAGAAAACACATAAATAATTCAGAACACATCCTTTATGTCAACAGTTTCATTTATTTTATCTCTATAAAGAGGGCAGAGGCAAACCTCATCCAAACAAGGAAGGGGAGGAAGATGCCTTGCAAAATTATGGCTGGGGTTTTGCACAGATACGTTTTTGACTGGAAGGCCCAGCTCAGAAATTAAATGCCTGTGTTTTAGTGCTTATACATTGTGAGTTGCTGAGTGCACATAGCAAAGAAAGTCATGAGCACTCTGGCTGCATCTGCCTTGCTCCATGACTTTCTGCATTTGTCCATGACTTTGGGTCAGGACAGGCTTCCAGATGTTCAGAAATCCCACACAAATGTGCTGTAACAAGAGACTCCATTGGAGGGTGCTAAACTTCTTGGCATACCCTAGGAATTCAGCCCCTAATAAAATATGAAGTTTCGATCCCTTTTTGTAAGGGGTAAGCCAAGTCCAAACTCCTGAAGTCAGGTGGAAGTGCTCTGTTGAGCTAAAAAAGGAGTTGGGCTGGACACACAGCATCTCATTTCTATGCAGATGTGGCAGTTTCATTTGCTTTTCCATCTTGTGGATTCTTGACTGATTAGCTGTTGAGAGAATTCTTGAAAATTACTTCAATTTTCAGCACACCTTACTTACTGCCTATAGTTCATGTCAAAGCCCTAGTCTCTTTGTTTGGAGATGCTCCCTCATGCTCTACTTACTGTACTTCAACATTGCTGAGAGAGCCTGTCCCTGGTCCTTTGTAGCTGTTTGGTTTTTTTTAATAACTGGATAAGGTATATAATTTTATATATCTTCTGACTCAGTAGACTCAGACCCATTCCTATTTTTCTGTGGTGATAATAAATGTCGCCACTACTAGTCTACCACTCAAGTTCTGATATGCAGCACAAAGCTAAAGACAGCAAAACAAACTAGGTAATATCCTCAGCTGTCATGTCTACAGCATAGAAGACAGCAGGGAAATTCCATCTTTCAAAAGATTCGTTCCTGAGGATTATTTATCGACCCTTTTCTTAAAAACATGTATGAGGGACAAGTCACAGTCTTGCTGTGAATATCCTGTCCCAGTATCTCATTTCTCTACAGTTAGAAGATTTCCCTGATGTCCAACACAGTTGTCTTTGATGTCTTTTCCTCCTCAATGGCCATAGAGTCAATCAGTAACAACCTTTTATGTACCAGAGAGATGAGGGACCCTGTAAAATAGATGCTTCTGCTGTGGTTATATGGACCCAGAATACTGGGGGCCTTTCTCTGCCACATATTTCCCATCTGTCCTCAGAGAAGTCTGTTAATCTCTGTATTTCTCTACCTCGAAGGGGTGCTATGAGGTTACATTCACTGGTGTTTCCAGGGGCTTTCAGATACTGCACTGACAGAGGCTAAATAGGTGAACAGAGAGAGAGAGCAGACATACACTTATTAATCTAGTAAAGGACTGATATTTAACTCAGCAAAGCTCCCAAACAAATGTCAAAGACTATATTATCAGCGTGTCTCTTATCTCTGGAATTTTGTTTTGTGCTATGCTACTTTACTTGTTGGTTTGTGGTTTGTTTTGCAGCTTACTGGAAAGGAGAATTTTAAGAACAAGAAAACGCCTGGTAAAAGTTGTAACTGGCTCTGCTTGCCTGTGGTATGACAGCCAAGAATATCACCTGCTGATGATTTACAGATTCCTGGGAGATGTGCTGTTGAGTCTTAAAGAACTGGAACAAGGACAACTCACCCAAATTGCTTTTCGTGAAACAGCATAATGTATCCACCCGCTTCATGCTATCTTAATTTAGGACATGTGTAGTGTGTAATGATGAACTGGCCAACTGATTATGTTGCTGTAAATCCTGTTCCCCACCTTACAAAACACTCCTGTCTGACCCCTTCTTTCATGACAGCTCAGCCCAGCGTTTCCAGTCCACCTCTTGGGAGGGAGAAAGATCTCACTAGCCATTCACGGAAGCAGTTCTCTAGAGAGAAAAATGCAACATTTTGTTAGTTTTATTTCATTCAGCAGCCTTTTCATATTCCTTGACCCACTTTTGCTTCTCTTTAAACTGTGACCAGTATTTATTTATCCCTTTTTAAACACAATAATTTAATTAAGAAACTAATCAGCAGTGTTGAATTGATCTTTGAACTCCCCCCTATCACTGAAGGAAATTTATGAATGCATAACACAAGCAATATCCTATTATCTAAAAAGCTTTCTACTAAAAGGATTTGGCATCTAAAAAGTAAGGCTTGAAATTCTGCACTAAATTTATAATGTAAAGAAGTGAACATTAGAGTTGAAGTGTATCCCAACTGAATCTAACAAGCTTGTCTGGATTATTTATTAAAAATAATAGTGTTACAAGTTTAAAGGATTTCAGAAATTATTTGGATAATTTGGAGTCTGAAGGACAGATTGTGAAGGTACCTGTGTGACAGGTAGAAGTTTAATGGTCTAGGCTGTCTCTTCAGTCAGTGGAGAGAGGTTGGCATGTTCCAGTTATGTTCCATTTTCTTAGGCACTTATCTTTGGATGGATATTTTTTGGCTGCTCATCTCAGCAGGGCATTAAAGGATGTCTGTAATCAGTCTTTATCATCATCTGTTAATTCCAGTTCCCTTGGCTTCATATCAATAATTCTGAACACTACCTGGGATGTAGGCACCTTGGGTAGAAAGTGACTGAATCCAAAAACGAGAGTGCAGTCCCCTGTGCAATCTCACTCAACCTTGGGAATAGAGCTCTTACTGTCTACCTAACATGACAGATTCTATAGGAATATCTCCTCTCCACCAGCCATAAGCTAAGTGAACATCAGCACTAGGGGACCTAATTCATAAGTTTCAAATGGCTTGTGGGATATGAAGGCTCCAAGATATTTGGCCCAGCGTAGTCAAGACACATTTCTGAACATGCTCAGCAGAAGAATTAAAGGTGCCTCAGTAAGTGCTCTGGAGGACCCAGTGGTTAGAGGAGGGACAGAAGATCACTTGCTGTCAGGCCTCTCCACTTCATCCAAGTGGCACTGTGGGCACCTAACTGCAGGCTTAGATCCAGTCCTTTGTCACGTACTTGAACTGACAGGTGGAGATAATGAGTTAGTTCTATCCAAAAGCAGGTCTAGAATCCAGGCCTAATAGCTGGAATTAACAACTGGCATATGAGAAGCCTGTTTTCTATGGATTTGGATCCTATGACTGGATTATCCCGCCTCTAAGATGGTATGAGCTTTATTCCAAGGTTTACCAGTGACTGGGAAACTCCTCAAAGTGCTTGCATCTGCCACTACCCACACTGCAGGGGTCTATTAATGTGAGCTTCACAAAGGTATGATGCAGGAATTAATATCCTTGTGCTTTCTGTTGTCTCAATTGCTTAATTATGTATTATACACTTCACATGAGTTATGTAGGGAAAAGAGAAATGAAGATGAAAAAAGAGGACTGCCATTTTTTCCATGAAGAGCAGATTGCAAGAGTGTGGCATTTTTCCCGCACATCTTGAATAGTTTTGTGCTTGGGCTTTTTGAGGAGTTTTTAATTAATTTATTGCTTAAATAACTGTTATGAGAAGAGCCCCTGCCACATTGATTCTAATGAGGATTGCATGTGCTCTGTGCCTTTCTCATTGTGGCCTGCATAATTTAACTATCTTAACCAACATGTGCTGTGGCAGATTTCACTTCTATCTGCTTAAATTAAAGCTTGTCAGTTTAGGAGCTAAGAAACATGCAAATATTTGAAAGAGATTTGACATTCGCTGCTGAAATCATTGCACTAAATATCTAGCATCAATGACATTACTGGAGAAGGGTTAGAAATTCTTGCTGTGTAGTACAGGCTGGACATTCTGGACTCAAAGAAGAAAAAATGTACTTATCCTTATGTGTTCATAATTAAGGTCTCCACCAAAATTTCAGCTTGTTTTTCTCCTGTATGTTCTCTGACCAATATGAAGCTGTTTGAGTTCCTCAAAGTTGCTGCTAGAAGAACAAACAGTACCAATATCTCAGAAGTAGCTGCAGTAATAGCACGATTTAGCTGTAAAAGGAATGGCATTTCCTTATGTTCTCATCCCCCAGAAATGCAAGGGAAGGTGGCGCTAAGCTGAAGGAGTCTGATGGAACCTTGGATATTTGAACAGCTCCAGCCACAGGAGATGAAGCTTAATTTCCAGTGCATGTGCATTTTTTTCCTCTTATGGGTCACTATATCAGAACACCATACTATATGTAGTATGTACAACGGTGTATAGCATGCAGACTTTCTGTGCTGGAAATCACTTGCTTGTTGACACACTGGAGACAAACGTGGGTATTAATACAGAGGTACTCCCCATGTAAGTTTAATCTCAATTGTAATGTAATTGTAGTGGTACTTAATTGGCTGTTACAAAATGCAGCAGAACCCAAATATTCCAATACCAATATAGAGTCCTCTCTACCAATTGCTTTCTTTTTTCATACAGGATAATTTAATATGCAAAGAATTTTGGTGCAGGCATGATCACCGGATGGATATTCAGGTTGGAAAACATCTCAGGAGATCTCTAGTCCAGCACCCTGCTCTAAATAGTATTTGCCAAAAGATGAAACCAGAGAGCTCAAGGCTTTATCCAGGTGGGCCTTGAAAACCTCCAAGGAGGATGCGCAGCCTCTGGGCAACCCTCAGGGGGAGAAAAAAACCAGTCTGAACTTCTTTCCATTTATGCCTTGTCTTCCCACCATACACTACTGTGGAGAGCTTGGCTCTATCTTCTTGGTGAGCTCCTCACTCATGAATGGGATGGTCTGTTGATCACCCGCTTCTGGTGAGTGAGATGCAGAGAGGAAGCCCAAATGTTCTGACATTTTACATGCTATAAAGGCAAGTAATGGGTGTTAAATACAGCATTTCCTTTTCCAAAACCTGTGTATTGACTAGTCCCTCACTCTAATCACTCCTTTCACTTTTTTGTTTAATCTCAGGCTGGTGGATCTCCTACTGTTCAAAGATTCTGAGAGTTGAGGAGAGGGAACATTTTGTTTGATCTGTGTCAATTTATCTTGTTTGCACTTAGGCACAGGAAAAAACGCCACTTCCCACAGAGGCTTTCAGTGTTCCATTTTCCACAGTTTATTCCCCATTTCCTTTAGTAACTGACTTCTAGCTATAATCATCTGTCATTATAACTTGGCTGTTTCAAGCTGTGTTCTTTTAATACTTACTCATTGTGAAACTCTGTGTAAGCGGTGGCACAAGCCTTGAGCACATCCTACTCTGCATAGTCTCATAAGAGCCAAGGGAGAAGAGTCATGAACTCGTGTCTTGGTGCTGCTACCTGTTTGCTTTCAGATGCATCAGCTCCAGTTATTGTCCCTTGCAACTGACATACAGTCCACTGCCATGTCCAGGTCAGATCTGTCATGCTGAACTATTTATAATTTGAGTGAAGCTGCAAAGGAAGTGGTGGGCAGAATATGGTGCAAAAGATGGAGTTGACAGAACTCAGCCCTCTTTTGTAGCACTTGAACTTTCTGGTAAGGGAATTTTGCTTTGTGTTCAAATTCAGGACTTGTCCAAATGGAGGTGTTATTCAATCCAACAGAAACCATATGGAGGAGTGGGTTGCCTCACCCTGAAATATTGTGCAACTCTACCTTTTTGACTGCACTTCATGCTGTGGACTCATCTCTGTGATCCTTTCCCTTTCCTGCATCTTGCCCAGTTTCAGGCCTGGAATAATCCCTGTTGGTGGCCTCCTGTAACACCAGAATGCTGAGTGCTTCAGACTGACTGGTAAATCTTTACTTTTTAGGTAAGAAAGCTGATACATAGAAAGATGAAATTATGTAGTACTGCTCCCTGTGCTTTTCAGAACCACTATTTACTGTTGCCTGGGCCTATCAGTTGAAAAGCTTAGGGGGGCTCAGGAACTTCATACGTGCAGAGTGTCTATGCACTTTGTTCTCACTGATGATATCCAATTAATTTGTTTCCTCTGAAGAGTTGGAAAGGCTTTCTCCAGATTTGGTGCTGCACATTAATACTTGTGCATAATATGGCCTAAAGAAAATAATTGGTGAGTAGTCTGGAAACCTGAGGCACATTGCCCTTTCGAGTAATGATTCTGCATATGGAAGGGGGAGGAAAATATTGCCATAGGGCCTCTGTGACCTCTTCATGGGTAAATAATTATTTAGGAAACATTGATTTGGAATGAAAAGTCAGTTCAGAGGCCTGACGGTTATACAGAAGTCCATGGGGTTAATCTGGAAAGATTGTGAAGTCAGTCAAAAATTACATTCATCCCTGAACAAAACTGGCCTGGTTGAGTCTTTATTTTGAGAAATAGTAAGAAAAACAAAACACTGATTGTTGTAGGTGGAGAAAAGCATACTCCAGGCTTGTAACATTTTTAAGACAAAATCTGGTACATCAGACAAATTAAACCTAATGATCTCTCAATGCATATGAACAGCATTCTTTTGAGTGCTGAGTGTGTGAGCTTTGTGAGAGTTTCCAGAACATGAAAGACTTTAAAATGGACTCATCTAAATTTTTATGGCATGCTGTATAAACCAGCCAAGTAGGGGTGGAGAATTGGAAAAGACATTTGGGAAGTCAGAGTTCTCACAATAATCTTCATTATCTTAGATGTCTCCCTTTCTTGGCTCCTGTTTCCCAACTAGAAGATTAGGATAATGCCAAGGTCCAATGGACAGTGTCTGCTTTACTTATTCTCAGTTTAGAGGTTGGATTGTCTTATAATAAGGTATAGTTGATTCAACTGCAGCCCTTGTAAGAGGAAGAGAGTTCCTTCTACCATTTATATCCACAATTTGGACAAGGGGGTTGAGTGCACCCTCAGTCAGTTCACAGACAACGTCGTTAGGTAGGAGTGTTGATCTGCTGGAAGTCAAGAAGGCTCTAACAGAAGGATCTTGACAGACTGATGGGCTGAGGCCAGCTGCATTGAGAGCTGCTCAGCAGAAAGGGACTTCAGGGTGCTGGTTGACAGCTAGCTGCATATGAACCAGCAGTGTGCCCAGGTGACCAAGAAGGCCAGTGGCATACTGGCCTGTATCAAGAATAGTGTGGCCAGCAGGACTAGGGAAATTATTGTCTTGCTGTATTTGGCACTGGTGAGGCCACACTTTAAATCCTGTGTTCAATTTTGGGACCCGCACTTCAAAAAGGACATGGAGGTGCTGAAGCATATCCAAAGAAGGGCAACGAAGCTGGTGAAGGGTCTAGAAAACACGTCTTTTGAACAGCAGCTGAGGGAACTGTGGTTGTTTGTGAAGCAGAGGAGTGTCTCACAGGAGACCTAATTGCTCTGTACAACTACCTGCAAGGACATTCTAGTGAGGTCAGGATCTGTCACGTCTGCCGTGTATCAAGTGAAAGGACAAGAGGAAAGGGCCTTAAGTTGCACCAGGAGAGGTTCAAATTAGATATTAGGAAAAAAATTCACTGAAAGAGTCATTAGGCATTGAAATAAGTTGCTTAGGAAGGTGGTAGAGTTGTGTCTCTGGAAGTGTTCGAGGCATGTGGCACTTGGGGATGAGGCTTAGAGGTGATTATGGTGGTGCTAGGTTGACAGTTGGACTAGATGATGTTGAAGGTCTCTTCCAACCCTGATGATTCTGTGAGACGTTAGGAACTCTAATTTATATTCTAGTAAAATCCAGTTGTTTTACGTTCAAAAGCCTTTCTTGTGTCTTTTGAGGGGCTCTGAATATGGGAAGTTCACCTGCTGAATTGGGACCTCATAAGACGAGAAAGCTTTCTTTACAAGACAGTTTCAGGCTTTTGGAGGGAGAAGTACCATAGAAGAGTGAAATAGTAGTTATTGGACTGCTGAATATTCACTCAGGTCTAGAAACATTTCCTGTGCTCATTTGCAGCTTCTCCCTGTTGATGAGAGCCTTGCTGAATTCTGAAGAGATTGTAAGAAGCTAGTCCATGAAGGTATGCTCTTCCCCTACATTTAGGCTGAATATAAGCAAAAGCAGTGAAGATTCTGTTCGTCTTGGCTGCAGTGGAAGTATCTTCAGTCAACTAAACCACTAAAATTATCTTTTGGGTTTTGATCCCTTTTTGTTCCCACCTGTCTCTTTGTTAAAATATTTCTAATGCTGAAGCAAAGGCTCTTTGGAGACAGGGCCACCTCTGCTGCTCCTGCATCTCTGGAGGTGGGTGGATCACTGCAGGGTGCTGCTACGGAGTGTTTTCCGTCAACTCCAGGTCCCCAGTGGGGCATATAATTCTCCATAAATGAAAAGTTAACTTTCTACGCTTTGTCCCAAAGAAACACACAATAGAAAATATGCAATATATGGTTCTCTTTCTTTTGATCCTTTTTTCCGTAGATAGCGCATGTCAAATTGAACTTGAATAGTCCCAGTGAGATCCAGTTTATTAGCACTAATAATTTTTATGTCTTATAGACATACACCTTCCTTCTTGCTCCTTTCTGAAGAAATTACTATGCTGAATTCCCAAAACATAGTCTGATCCTACACAGACATCAAGATCCTAGTAACTATATATGTTATTTAAGTCAGTTGGAATTCTGGAAGTCTCTTAACACCCAAAATCAGTCATTAATTGTAAGTAACAATATTCATTTTTATTAATTATGGCTATAGAATTGTGTTGGATCCTTTCCATTTTTTAATGTTTTAGGCAATGCTCCATGATACTTTGACCAACATTGAGAAAAATGGCCTGTCTTTTTCTCAGACCAAATAAATTAATTTTTATGGAATGGAAGTGGAGGGTAGAACTGAATAAGCTAGTTGCAATGGAAATAGTCTTTCAAAACATTGGAAAAGTTAGTCACTTGCAATAGCATGTGGTCCAATTTCCTGAACCTGTGAGAAAGGACGTGAATTATTATATAGCTTACTGCTGAACATATGCCTGATTCCTCATGTATGTAGAAAGCAAGGATGGAATACGTGTGTGAGTCAGGTCCAGCCTTTCTCATTCTGTCTCTTACAAGATTAAAACCAAAGCAGACATTGCGGATGGCAGAAAGGCATGCCAAGAAGTGAGCCAGAGCAACTCAGAGTAGTCTAGATGCTTCTAAACTGGACTGGACAAGAAGAAAAGTAACTTTTGCTAACAGATACCTCTCTTAATTTGTCATTAGCTTTTACTCAGTTTTTAAAAAATTTTGTCAGAAGTTTTGGAATGATACTTTTTCAGTGTGTACCAAAATAGTCGGTGTGGTAATTTTGCATACGAACCATACTCACCCACTGTTCCTCTGGCATGGCAGTCTTTCTCCAATATTCCTGCACAGTTTTCACAGCATTTCCAAAGAAGTTTACTGAACCTTGATGTAGGGATGGAGTCAAAGATGGTGCAGTGGGTTTTTTGGAGGTTTTTTTTGGTTGGTTAGTTGGTTGATTGGTTTTGGGTTTTGTTTTTGATTTTTTTTTATTTTCAGAGTGGTTTATTTGGTTTTTTGGTTTTGTTGGGTTTTTTTTCTGTTTGGTTGGGTTTTTTAAGAAAGAAATGTATCTGTGAGTTTAAAACACAGAATTTTGGCTCTTTTAAAGCCACATAAAGGTGGGACCCTGCAAACATGTTCAGTTTCCATCTAGGAAATGTAGTATACTCACTATTCACATTCAATTTACTGCTTTTTCATGAAAGGTTTCTGGATTTCAGAGCCTAGTGGTGGGGTGACATTGAATACAAGATTGTGTAGCACTTTATAGAACTTTTCTTTTATTAGCAGCTCTATAATCATATTAAGTTAGACTGAAAATTTGAACTAATTCTTTCCCTTGAGGCCCAAGCTCTAATAATGGTAAAAATCTGTGAAATAAGATGAATACAATTCAATAATTATATTGATAAATAAAATGAAAATCAACTAATTGTGTCATTCAGCCAGTTGCCTGCCTCTGTTGTTGCTGCCTTTCTGCATCAGTGGTTGCTAAACTTTTTCTGTCACACTTCAATAAATTTAATTGTGCAGAATAAATGAGCTAATTTTTGAAGTCACAGGCTCTGTTTGCAAGATAAGGATGATGATTTATTGACCTCTTTCTGACTCCATAAGAATGTCACCCTCCTTTTTACTGGCAACCATAAGAAGGGGTTTTGTCCCTCTTCACCCAGCATCTTGCTAAATCCTACTTTGTATATTTACCTTCCCATCTCGTTTTCTTCAAGTCACATAATACACCACAATAGACCAGAGATCCCTGCTTCAGTTAGTGGCTATACAGACTGTTACAAATGATTAGCAGAACTTAAGGCTATTTTCTTCTAATGATAATTTCATTCTCTGGGTTTTGGAAGAGTAGGGGCTAACAGGAAGTATAAGAAAAAGGGCATAGATAAATACCTGGTTTTTTTCTGGAAGCTATGTTCTAATCTCAGTCATAATTCTGTGAGTTCTTCCACCCTCCCAGGATGGACACTCCCTCCAGTGCTCATTCACAATGGTTGTTTGACTGTGAACACAGGAAAAAGGCTGATACTAGGCATTGGGCATGCTTCATGAAAAATTGTCTGCTTTTTAAACTTTTGTTTCTGTTTCTTGGGCTTTGTGTTTAGATACTGAGGAGAAGATGATACTATCTTGACTGTTGTTACTGTTGCAATTTTGACAGCAATTTTAAACAGACATAAAAAGGTAGGAGTGAATAGGCCGCACCCATTCTTTCCCACCTCTTTGATTTTCTTTGTGAGTTAGAAGGCTTTTCGGAAAAACATTTGTATGACAGCCACAAGACTACCCTTTACCATAAGGCTGGATATTTTGTTCAGTTCTTTAAATTAAAACCACAAAATAACCTATATGCATATGAAAAGGAGTGATTAGATAGTGTGGTACAGTTACAATACAACTCTATCTCTGTTACAACAGACAAATCAATTGTCATGCTGTAGCAATATGATCCTTGAATCAAAAATCTTGGTAATCTGTTGAGTCACTAAATCTCTTTAGAGAAAAATAAGACCAGCAGCAACGCATCAACTATGTCAAAAAAATGCTCTCGAAGTTCTGACTCCCTGTCCCTGTCAAATAAACCCAATAAATGAGAAGGATGGAGGGATGGAGACACCTTCTTCATATTACTAAATGACTGCCTACTGAGGTGCATTGGGCTACGCAAACCAAACAGTATTCCATCTCAGTGATTACTATGTTTGTTCTTCACAGTGTGATTGAATCTGCTACTCTTCGACTAGCATCAGCTAGGCAACACAGCAGGTCAAATACATAGGGAAGCTAGCTAGACATTGACAAACCTGGCCTCCTGGAAGTGCACAGCGGAAGACTTTTTATGAAGCCCGGATTTCAGCCAAGCACCTTGAACACAAACTGTGAGAAACCTTTTTCTCATGTTTTAGTTGTTATATTGGACCTCCTTTTACTGTAATTTTCTTCTAAAGAAGACTTATAACCTCCTAAATATTTCCTGTCAGGTGTTGGCTAGGTGAAATGCATCCTAGGGAATTGCAGCTGGAGGAATCACAACATCCCACATACAGAGCAGTCCAAATTTCTGCCAAATTCTTCACTGTGTCTTTAACTCAAACTGCTTGTGCTCTTTGTGATTGATGCTTGTAGCAAAAGGCAGACCTAACCCAGGAAAGTCTTCTGCATCGTAGCACTGCATTCCTTCAAACAAAACCTTATGCCTGATTTAACAGCCTGCCTGGGAGCTCTACACAAACCTAATACAGACAGCCTTTGCCAGTTTTTGCTTTTTTTGGTGGTAATTGCTGTTCCTGCCCGTTTTCACTGTGTAGTTGGTGTTTGTTCCCTGGTTGCTGTGGGTCGCTTAATTTACACTATCTCGGGAACCTGTCAAACTGCACTGGAGTGATTACATTGATTTTGGGGGAGTCTTGAAAGTAAATTAAACCTGAACAAAACTTACTCTTTAGCAAAGAAAGCTTTGCCAATTTTAAGAGGATAAAATTCCACCAGCATGTAATGTTTTATTGGGCTGTAGTGAAATACTTTGGAGAAAGATTTCCAGTTCATAAAACACTTCCAAAACATTGATTGACCTTCTGTTTTGTGGGCCATTATAATTTTTTCTTTGTAAACCAAGTTCCAATTGTCCTGCAGATTTCTTGCACCAAGAACAAGAAGATAAAGTTTTTACTGAACCTTGGACATTGTGGGAAGTACAGGAGATTTCTGAAAATGCTAAGTCTGATTCAGATCAACATTCCTAAAGCCATGGCTTCCACTGAAGGAGGTCTCTTCCTCAGAAAGGAAGAGGAAAGCCAGTAGTCTTACAATAAAAGTAATGCTAATTTTGCAGTTCAGATTTTTTTTTCTGCTGTGACCTTTGCCAGATCTTAAATTGTAAGTAGAGGAATAGAACATGTTTTCTAGTTAATCTGAACTGAACATATTCATCATGCTTCGTAAATTGTAACAGGGCTACCTTTCTTTATCCTTTTCTGTTTGTTTTCTGATTGTGTGGATATGACTGAGTGTTGCTGGTTTGCTCTGGAAATGATTTGGCAAAATGCCACCTGCTTGTCACTCTAAATCTGATTTACAGAGTAGCTGAAGGGTACAAGCTTTGGTGAAGTAATTTGCCCATAGATGAAAGCTAAGTTAGGCAAATAAGGGCCCTTCATGAAAGAAAGCCTATCTTCCTTGTTGCTGAATGTAGAAGCTGAACTTCCCAGGTGTGGAGATAAACCAGAACTAAGTAGAGAGATAAGACTTCATACTGCCTGGCTCAGTGTTGGTATCTTTTTAAAATACCAGGCATTCGATTCATTCTGCAGAAGACATGGAAACCAGCCCCATTGTTCAGGCAATGCATGGCTAATGTTATATTTAAGATGTTTCTGTATTCTTTGATGTTTGAAAACTAAGCTGGCAATAACAATACCATCCAGCCATGTAAAAATGGGGAGCTTGAGGATCTATCCAAGCCCAAGTGAAAACAAATAGAAAACAGTGTTTGGAGACAGGAGAGACAGGAACCATTCGCTGTCCATGACTCACTTGGGTCCCTATGTTGCCAGGCCTCTTCCAGTCTCCAGGACAGACCTAATATGATTAGATCACAGCATCCCCTATTTCACAAAATATGCTTACTGCAAGGCACTTGTTTCCAGTTAGGATTTTTTTTAATATGTTGTGGTTTTGAGACTGACTTGGAATATTTTATATAACATCAGCCACTGTGCAGATTTGTGTATTGTACTGTAATTACTTAAATAGGGGATTTTGTATGCTACAGCCAGTGATTCATGAACTGCAGGGTATCTGCAAAAACAGGCTTTCATTGGGATTATGGGATGTAAAATGCCTGAAGGTTTTTGCCTTTGATAGCAGACCTGCCACTGCATCCACACAGGGTTTGTCTTATAAATTGTATTAGTGCTGATAACTTCCCTCCCCCAATTCCTTACTATTCTGAAGTGTTTTGAAAGAAAACTTGTTCTATGTGAATGATTGCTGTGGCAATCATTAAAGCATATGTTCAGCATGCTTGTTGTTGACCATGAAGTGTAACAGAAAAGTTGAAAAGGTCCTTCAGAAAGGACTTAATATTGTGAAATTTGCAATAACATGATTTCTAACTAGAAATAAGGGAACTGTGGAGAGTGTGGGGAAAAGAGCATAGTCAGATGTTCTCAATGTCTTCAAGGGGGTCACTTATCTTCCATCGGTTTATGGTTATGTAGCTAAATCTCCTACCCGCTTTTGGAAATAGTGTCAGCCACTGGAGAAAATGGAGCTACTGATTGATTTAAGGCATTGTCTAACTTGGCATATCAAATTATTTCAAGCCCACAAGAAGGAGGAGGACATGCTGATGACAGCATGTTCGTGCCTGCATATTCAACCAATGTGTTAGACTAGGAATCTGTGCCAGACACAGGTAAGTCCAAAGATTTTTCCTTTTGCGACATCCAGCAGGAGCGAGGCAAGGGGAATCATAAATATTATGATAATGGTTTGCTGCCTGATAAAAAAACCCCTAATTTGTCCAGGGGATAGAAGGTTTCTGGTGAAATTTCCTTGCTGACTTTTCTGTCAGCCCATTTCTAAATGTCTTCATGTTTCATGTCATAAAGACAGAAACAGAGTTGTTTTGTAGTTGCTCGTGAGTTTTAATTATAGCAGGCACAGAATTTCAGACATGTCGATGCTTGTTTTTATATTGGGACCCAAATGGTTTTATTTTCTTTCCAGGGGATGTGAAAGATCATTTTCTTAGTCATATTTCTCTCAGATCCAGAGCTGTGCAGACAAAAACAAAACAAAAAAACCTCCCTTACTGCTATTAAATCCCTTCCTTCTGAAGTCATCACAGCTCAGGTAAGGCAGTTCAGTAGAGAGCAAATACAAGTTAGGGTATGTAAAATTGCAGTGCATATTTGGTGCCCACAAGATTCTTTACTGACTTTTATTGCCATGCATAAGGGTTACATCAGACATTAGCAGTAAGAAAATCCAGGGCCTCATGATATCCACCCTTATTCACATTTGACTGTGCCTGTTTCAGGCTGCCTAGCATGCAGCAGGTTGCTTGCTGTTTTAAAAACTCACTAAAAATAGGAGGCGTACCAAGCAGTGAATGTGTAGCGTATATATACTGTTTATATACAGACAGAGCTATATGTCCTTGACAAAAATCCTCTGTTCAGCAGAGGTTCTTTGGGTGAGGTGCTATCTAAAGGTTTGGTTTTGGTTTTAAAGCCCTGTGTGCTTCCACTCTCATCATTCTCAGCTCTATTTTACAGCACTTGGCCATGTAAAGCAATGCTCCCAAACAGGGCATTGGAGGACTCTCAGCCCAGCAAAGCAGCAGGTAGAGCAGAGCTCGTTGCCACTGTTTTCCATATGTTCCTCTCTATGGGGGCCTGACTGGACCTCGACCTGAGGAAGATGCAGAATGGAAACTTAATGGAGAAGCGAGTCTCGCCCCCAGATATATGAAGCAGCCAAACTCTTTTGTTCTCATTCTCTCTGTTCTGGGTGGCAGAGTGTGTGTGCATGCGTGTGTGTGTGTGTGTGTATCAGTGGCAGCACATTCCTTCCTTGCTCTGCTAGTCCCAAAAACACATCTATTGCTCAGCATTAATCTGCACCCCTTCCAAAGAACCATCTCCTATTTTGTCTTCCCCCCCCCCCCCCCCCCACTTTAAGTTAGTTCACATTGATTAATCGTTTTAAAAATGTTTAGGGCTGGGATTGTGAAACCTTTGCTGGCAAAAATTTTTCCCCTGGAGTTAAGGAGACTACTCATTAGCATGACTACTTACCAGCATGAGGGAGGGATTCACAATCTGGACATTTGTAGTTTTAAAAATATGTCTCTATTTAGCTGATTTGAGCAGCTGAACAGGGCTAGTTATGGAAATCAGGCTGTCACACTCGGGTGTTTTACTTCAGAGTGCATCTTTGCTGAAGTAAGGTACTTTTACGTAACACACACAGATATTTAAACAGTAGTTTAGTTATATGATTGGTGTCTTCAGTCTTACTTACAAGCATTGTGTGATACCCAGCATAAACAAAACGCTTTATTGATAAATCCCATCTCTATAACCCCTTAGTTTACACACAGTGCAAAAATGTATGTGGGTCAGTATTGACAGGAAAGCCATTATGGGTCACTTATGCCACTCTTGGATGCAGGTAGTGCTTGCAGGACACCTGGTTTTGAGCCCAGTGGGTGGAGAGAGAAGGTGAGGAGCTGGGTACTCTTGTGTCTGTAGGACATGGAGATGGCATAGTTGTACCTCTTGTCCCTGCTTGCAAGAAACAAAACTCTGAGGAAAGAAATCTGGCTCTGTGACAGAAACCCCTGTGCTTTATATTACAATGTTTCCCTACTGTGAGTCAGTCACTCCCCCTTTTTTTTCTGAGGACAAGTGAAACAATCCTGCCTCTGCTCTGCATGGCTAACAGCAGCAGTGACCTTCAGGCTTGCCACTTAAAAGTGGTGTGGGATCATCCCACTGAAATTTAAAAAAACCTTATCTTTCCCTTTCTCTCCTACTTCTCCACCCCACTCTGCTCCGTTGCTCCTCTGTGTGCAGCACGGCCATCAAGTCTCAGTGCTGGGCTGCGGGAACTCAGGAGTTCCCTCTTCTTTCTGCCTCTCTCTCCACCTTGCACAAAGCTAACAGGGGGATTTTTCACCTCCTCACTTTCCTGTTTCCTCTTTGATTAACTTTGGACCAGATGGCTGGTCCCCAATCTCTCAGCATGCATTTGACTGACAGGAGCCTTTGATAAACCTCATAAGAATGAAGTCATCTTCAGGTCACCTCCTCTGCCTGGCCTTTAGCATCCCGCACATACCACCATTATCTGCTGAATAGGAGACAAAGGAAATTAGCTCCAATTCCCTATCATCCCTATTATTTTCACACTGATTTAAACAATGAGGCAATGAGATGCCCTTCACTTTCCTTGGAAAGGTACAAATGTCAGCTGTTAAGAAATGCAAACAAGAGGTTTCCCATGTTAATGGATGGGCTTCTTTGTAAAGCCGTGAAGTGGTAAAGTGGATTTATTCACAATCTGTCTGGAAAATGCTTAACGCACTCCTAAACAAATTCTTTAACGACTTTTATTTTATACACAATGTAGAGTGCTTGAGAAGTCTCATTGTTTTGGTCTGGATATATAAAATGAGGTGATATACTGTTCTGTTGTTTTTTCCATATGCAGTTATCAGAGCTGCATTTGAGACAGTCCTGAACTGAAATCTTGGAATCTGAATTCCTTGATATACAAAAAGGCTGTATATGAACCTGAGTACTGAGATGCAGAAAACTACCTTCAGTTTCAAGTGAGAAAAGAAGTTTGGTTACTCTGGACAGAGGGGAAAAAAAACAACATGAATCAAAATTGCATCTCTCCAGAGATTTGTAAGTAGTTGCCTCACATCCATCTGGCTATAACATCTTATCTGAGAAGAGAAATAACAATACACCTTAAGAATTGTTGCCCCAGGGGCATTTTAAGGCAGGCATGCTAGAAAATATCTGTAAAAAATATTTATTTTGATTAATTTCTTTCCCAAGGTTGTGGTCTTCTACTAGAGTTGGTTTAACTGTCATTTAATTCTGTTTTTTTGGCAACTGAAAGTATCTGGATGATGGGGTACTTGCATGAAAACATTTTCCAGATCACTGGCATGCCCACATATATTGCAGGAGATTAAAACATCAATGATCTCCAAACTAATTCTTGGGAAAACTGGTCTATAAGCTGGGCTTCACATTAAAATATAACTTTTTTTTTCTTCTTTGCTTCCTCTCTCTGGTAAAGCTGTCAGCATCTTGCCTCCAAAACAGTGGTCTCTACAGAGTCATCTCCTGACGTACAGTTGAAAAGCACCACACAAGAACGTATCTATATACTCCACAGAGCAAAGATCATGCTGAGAGCTGGAAACTGTGAGCTGTATTCCTCTTACCTACTATGAAACATGGGAGCAATGATAGCACATCAGGTCAAGAGACTGGTGAGCAGTTCTGTCCACCTTGCCAAGTTGCTAGACTTTGGCCTCCTGTGAAGTCAGTGGAATGAAAAATCATCTTGGTACCCAAGGTAGGCATGTAGAGAAATCGGTCCTGCCTACTTGATGCATTGTGACTCCCACTCTCCAAAGGTAGAAGTCTGAATCACTCCTTGGTTATTGACCTTAGATACCACTGTATTGGGGTTTTCTCAATTAGACTCTTACACCGGGCAGCCTGAATGTGGTGGCACTGGAAGTAATGATCTGTGAAGACCTCTCTGTTGTTTTGAGTCCTAGGTAAGTTTGGCACTTACCTTTAGCCACTGATAGAGGCTGGTCTTTTTCTTCACAGTGTTATCACAAGTACCTTACTTCACCAATGGCTGAGAGAATTCAGATGATGGATTGTCCAGGCTGATTCATGCTTTTGGGAACCTCCAACTAGCCTTCACCATGAACTCAGTGTCTAGAGAATGGTTGAAGAACTGGAGCATAAGCGGACATCTACCTTTTAAATAAAGACCCTCTCCATATGAATTCAAACATACTCTTGCTGCTGACAAAGGATGTTAATATTGAAGTCAGGTAACACCTTTAATTTTTTTCTTTGGGACAGTCTTTTTTTACGGCTTCCCTTACTAGTATAAGAAGATCCATACTGTGGCACTACAGTAAAAGATTCCCATCCTAAACTGGGTATATAAACTCAACAGAAGTCGACTAGTTGAGAGAGGGCTTGAGAAAAGGGAGTTAAGCCTAATTAAAGTATTAATTCTTCAATCATTCCTGCAAAAATCAAAATAAATGTTTGCTCTTTTTTTTTTCCCCAGCTAAAAAGCTTCCAGTGTGGCCTGTACCATTAAAGGATTACAGCTCCTTTGCAATTATGCTGTGTTCCTCTTTCCTCTCTATTCTGTCTTAGGGTGGTGAATCTTAAATCACCAAAATTTTGTTGGTGTGACAATAAAAGAATGGTCTTCTGACAGCTCTTGAGAACCTGCAGTTCATGTTGCTTTTTGAAGTACTTGAATAGCTAACATGAAAGGCCAGATGCTTGATTCCATTTGACAAATCTCCCCTTCTGTATATTGTGGTGTTTCAATCTTGACCATGACTGTCACCAAGTTGCTTTTTTGCTTACTCCTTGACAGTCAACCGCCAGCCAGTCAACTGATTGAAGATGGGCCCTAGTCTTATCTAGCCAGAACGTGGCACAGAAACAGATGGCTTCTGCTCCTGATCAGCAGCCTGGGTAGTATTTTTAAGACTTCTAAAGGCACTTTTGCACTGGTAAGGGTGGGAAGCTCTTCACATTTCCATACATCCTGCTGCACACTTTCTGATCGAAATCTGGAGGAGGAATTGAACTTCTGGCAGCAGTTATGAACTTGGCAGCCAGTCAGTTTCTTTTAAGGACCCTGCTGTGTCAGGGTACAGATCAAGGTGCAAAAACAACCCTCTGAAAAGTTTATTTTCCTTAGATAGAGAAGACTGAGTTGTATGGAGCCAACCTATGGCGGGGATTGAAAACGGTCTGCAGTACTAAGTATGTTTTTTTTGAGCACCATTCTTGCCCTAATTTGTTTTTCACATACAGCCTGTCAATGCTTGAGGTGTTTGACTGTCCATGTCTTCAGATGAATGGACACATCAAAAAGATGGACCGATATACTGGCATCAACACAGTTTTACTTTGGTCACTTTACTTTACAAATCAATCTGAAGAAGCAAGAACATAGCAAAACCTCTAATCTCAAGGTTTTGACTTTCTGGGGTTTTTAAGCAGAAATATTAGCTATCTGCAATTCAAAGAGAGGGGCTGAGGGTGGGGGGCTTACGCTTCCCATTTTGTTTTTTAAGAAGGTCACAGTGAAAGCTTGTGATTGAATATTTTGCATGGAACTGCCTATGACAAAGACAAAGATGAGGGGTTTGTCAGAGTGCTATGAAAAGAGAGAGAGGGAAAGATCTTTGTTAGATTTTTAAGGTATATTTGAAAGAATGAAATAAAAAAATGCTTTCAAATCCTCAGGGACTTTCCAATTTATCAAGAAAGACACATTCTTCCTAATGAAAGGTTACTGACCTTCATGAATGTGACAGTTCAATTACAGCCCATTCATATGCAGAGCAGTGGTTGATAAAGGATTTAGGAAATGTGACTAGCATAGCAAAAAAAAAAAAAGAGGGGAGGAAATGTCCAGAAAATTATTTTTTATTGTGGAGCAAGAAATATAAATAAGATTCAGTCAGGTAGTAGAACCTTTTCTTCTCTGGCCCAGCAACCCATTAGATTTGCTTCAGTGAATACATTGACTTTTTCCTCTTCTTTTTCTACTAATATTTCTGTCTTTTTAATCCTCTGAACTACTAAACCTAACAAATCATAAAGCCCTTGGGGTGCTGAGATGCAGGGTTTCAAACATTTTTTCCCTCTGACTGGCAGAGAAAGCTGGAATGTGTCCTAATGTTTTTTTAAGTGCTTGACTAGCATTTAAACTCTTAAATGGATGGAAAGTTAAAGCAGCAGCAAATGCACATGCACATACACGTACCCCCCCTTCCTTTTCCTTCCACCTTCTCCCCCCCCTGCTTCCCCCACACACACCGAGCTTGGCCTCTCCAGGGCTGTTAATAGCCAAAGCAGATATTGGCTAGACTCTCTGGAGCCAGCCTTCAGCCAATGGAGGGTGACACCTGTGAGCTGATGTTTGTTGAACTCCTCCAGGTGTAGGAAAGATGCTTAAATTGACATAAGGCAGGAGCTGTGAAAACAGGCGTGTCACCCATACATACAGCTCCCTGGAAGGTCCCAAGGCCAAGTTGTTGCAAAACAACTAGAAAGAAAGGAAGAAAGAAAAATTTTTCACTTGCTTTGAAATAATTCCAGATTATCTGTTTATCTATCTGCACGTGCACACACTCATGGATCTAGGCAGATGTGCACTGTGTTCACGTGAAGTATGCATAGAAAATAACATGAGGCATACGACCCTACATAGTACAAACCCTTCTTGTGTTTTAAGGCGATAGCAGGCTGAGCCGTTGTGGAGTTAGATGAGGACAATCCTTTGCTTAGTGTTAACTCTCACAGGTGGTCCCAGATGGAACTGCTGTAGTGGAAGTTTGAGTGTTCACTTATATTTACGTTAGGTCAGGGTTCTATGGAAGGCATTGTCTTCCTGGGAGCAGCAAACAGCTTCTCAAGTTTAACCAAGTGCTCGAATTCAAGTGCAGTCAGGTGGATGTGAAGAAGTGCTAAACCTGCCTGAGGAAGTCAGAGCCAAAAGATGCTTCCTCGACCTTCACTCAGTATCTGTGAAATGGCATGTGTGTTTCTGAGAAATGAGAAACTTGGTTAATTGGCACTACCACTGCCCAGGTATAGGGCTGAGATTTTTCTCCACTGCTCAGGCAGGAAAGAGCTGCACGGTTGGACACTGTGAGATCTTCATTCTTCCTAGTGGAGCAACTGCAGGGAGAAGAAGACACTGAAGAATATTTTCTATTTCTGTTATGACTGATTATGGTTTCTGGGAAACCAAAACCCTTTTCACTACTTCAAGCTGCTGCACTAGCTATCTGTTCTCCCTGCCTCATTGCCTTCTCTGGGTAAATTTCAAGCCCTATCCCTAGTGGATAATTTGAGCACTTTGCTTACTGGGTGCTGTTTGGAGGTCCAGTGGTTTTTCATCAGCAATCATTCATTGATACCAACTGCTTTGTGGTCTCTCAGCCTCTGTTGGCTCATTCAGGTTCAGGTGATCATTGTAGAGGAAAGAACACTTGTCCTTAGTCTAATTTAGATCAAGGGCTGGCATGGAACTGGCTTTTGCAGCACAGAATAATAATGTTTCAAAGCAATGTATACAAATAAAATAATCAATCTGTCTTTATTGGTTCTTTTAGATGACTTTGGAACGTGTAATTGTAAGACATTGAATTATGGAAATCATGATAGAAATTACAGGGATCACTTTGGAATGGTCATATTCTTACTTCTCTTTTAAGCAAAAGTTTATCTGATCTTTTTTAAGGGCTTTTTAAAGTATAATACTTTTTTCTCCCTTTTGTTTGGTACCTCCCTGAGACTTTCATGAAGATGTTAGGAGGCCCCAAGAGGAATGAATCCAATAGATTTCCACAGGATCTGTTTCCAAGAAATCTATTGATGCAGTGCATTGGTCATCTTGGTCATCCTGAATTTTTTTATGTGCTTCTTGCTTTTTCTGCAGCCCAGACTGCACCAGAAGCTCTGGGCAAGTTCGGACAGAGAAATGACCATCTCCCCTGCCATATGCAGCTTTTAGCTGTCTCATATGGTGGCAAGATTAGAATCAAGGCCCTTCAAGCACTGGAGAGGAGTTTCCTAGTAATATGCTCACCACTTGCTTTTAATGTTGAAAAGAAAAACAAGATAAAGGGATGTAATTTTTAAGTCCAGAAAACCTGTTTGGAGTCTGTCTGTGCTGTTAGATTCATTGTAGGTAGGGTCCCCATCCAGCAGAAGAGATAAACACTGAAGTTGGAACATTATTTTGTCTGAACTGAGGACTGAAACAGCTAAATGTACACATGGAGAAAGTACAAGAACTAATCCATGCATATTCTATGAAATTCCCTATGTCATTCCTCAAATATGTTTTCTGCAACTTGCTGTAGTCTATTTGGACTATGATATGATATAAAGGGTTTACCAGGATTTATCTGGGCTAACCTTTGTGCAGTGTTTTGTCTTTGCCTGTTGTACATAATGCATGCCATCTAGGGGTTTTTTTGCCTGTAAGATCCACAAAACAAGACGGTAAAATATTTTTCACAGAAAGACTTATTTTTCACCAGTAGTAAAATGTATTTGATTTATTTACAATGGCCAGTGGTCAATTTGATAAACTCTGATTTTTAGATACCTTAATTTTCACAACAGATTTTATTATTCAAAGTCAATTAAAAGCCGTCTGTACTGAATGTAAAATAATAATTGTCAGTAGCAGCATCATGAGAACCTTTCTGACGACATTTGCTTTGCAGAAAAATAAAGACTTTGTTTTCTGCTTACATTTAATTGGCAAGGTTCCTTTAAAGTTTACTCTTGGCCCTGAGACTTGGGAGTGCAGTCAGGCATGTGGCTGAGAGCAGTCCTAATAGGCAGGCTGCATAACCTCACTAGCTAAAGCTCACAGGCTATGAGGAGGTTGTTCACCAGGGGAAAAACACAGTCTGCTGCCGCTCAAGCTAGCATGAACTTTACATACTGCATGCCTTGCTGATTGATTAAAAACGTAGTCATCCTTAAAGGCAAACCACCTAAGGACTTAAAGTAAGTCACAAATACAAAGATGGTTTTATGTAGTATACTTTTATACGATGGACTCTTTTGGGATGAAGACTTTGTTTGCAGTCAGTGCAAGTTGGTTGGTGACTCCTGTTAGCTTGCTGGTTGAGGCAGGTTCTCCTGAATCAGTTCACATGGAAACAAAACGGCACCTGAGCAAACATTGGAAGGTGGGGGAAGAATTGCTTTCAGTTCACAGCCACAAAAGTTAGAGTGACTTATGCATGTTCCAATAGGGAAAACTTTCTCTCGTGGCCAATTTTTTGATAAGATATGGCAGGAATTAATTTTAATGGGGCTAGTAAACATGAATTATTGTATGGCTGGCCCCCTTCTAGCTTGATTTAGAGGTGTATCTGGAGGAAAAATATCAATCAGACTTTGTCTCTCATTTGCTCTGATGCCCTCAGTCAACTAGTATGAGATAGCACAGAGGAAAACATTTGTATATACACCCTCTAGATAACAAAAGCAAAGGGATGTATGCGGCAGTTGATGTGCATCTTGTAGTAAGCTTAATGGTTTGTAGCTGCAGCTTCAACTCGGCTTGGAAAGCATTAGGAACTGAAGAGCAGGTCAATGTGAAATAGCACATTGTGGCCAGCCCAGCAAAAGAGCCTCTGAGGGAGTACTCATACCATTGCTAGTCACTGGATCAAACTAGTGATAGATTTCCTTGTGTGAAGTAAGGAGGTGGGGAGTGGGGGAAGGTTCCTTTTCCAAGTAGATGTGATGCAATACCACTGTGTCCTGGCAGTCCTCTTTTCACTTCAGCAGAAGACTTCAATATGGGTGTAAGTTCTTTCAGGTGCTGCTCATTAAAACTGTGGGGAAGAAGATAAAGGCACAGCAAGCTGACTGTCTTGTTACAGTAGAGACCACTCTGTCTAGTGTCTCACAACATACTGATAGTAAGAACTGGATCCAGACAAGGCAGTGTTGGCTCATATCCACAAAATGTTACAACTATATTTGTATATATGTCAAACTTGAAGTATTTAAACAGACCCCAATTTTGGTGTATCAAAGTGTCTAGAAAACACATTTCTTCAAAAGAGCCTTTTCTACTTTGGAAGAAGCAAGAAAAATAGTAACAGGCAAGATATATTACAAAATCTGGGCTTCAATCCAGGAAAAGCACAAGTTTCCAAGATCTTCACATTTTTACATTATGGTCTATATTGAGGTCAAACCTTTTTAAGGTGCAGATTTTTTCTTCTGGGTACTTGAAGAGGAAACAATGTGGGTTCATTTCCGTTTTGTTTCTTTATGGTGTGTAATGGAATCCTGTGTTATTTGTTTTTTAAAAGGCTGTGGCTTCTTTTTTATTGTTGGGTTCTATTCTAGTCTTCTGGTTTGCAATGAGTCTTGATGGTGCTCTTAGTGTCAAGAATTGTGGATCCCCTCTTGAAAAGGAAGGGTACTGAAATTTTCCCAGATTTTCTCCAGCATGCTTTTTTAGCAGTTAAAGAAAGCCTGCAAAAGCTGGAAACTTCTGAGTGTTTGCTCATCCAGAACAGGTTTTGTGCTTGTTGTATCTCATAATCCTAAAAGTTTCCCTACACTCTCACTATAGCAATGAGATAAATAAAGCATAAATTGCTATTGTCAGAAAGAAGGCACTGGAAAAATATCTCAAAACTCATATTAATAAAGATAAAAAAAGCTGAAAAATATACCCTATCCTTTTGTATATGATATGGATGGTCCTTAGAGTTTTTTTGTAGGAACAGGAAAATCTCCTCAGTAAGTTCAGCAAT